TTCACGGCTTGAACTGCTCTCTCTACCACAGATATCTGCCAATGAGCCTCGGCAGGAATGTGCTGAACCTCGATCTGTCTGTCGAGAAGGTAGTTGTCCAGAACCTTACTTCTGAAACATCCTGCCGGGTCCAGTCTTAGAACCTGGGGTTTCCCAAAATGAGGAAGCCAGTGTCCTTCGAAAAAGTCTACGAAGTCCTGAGCACTTGGGGTCCTGCTAGCATGTTGGAACAACAGACGACCGGAACGAAGTCTACTTCCTTCATCGATGCCTAGCATGAACTGCCACTTCTCACCGTTTTCGGGATGGTTCCAAGAAAACGCATCGCATTGGAGGGTGTGCCACTTCGGGGATATTTCGACCAACGACGACTGGCTTCTAGGGTCAGGACGACTACGTTCCTTGCAAACATCACAAGAAAACTGTTCAAGACATCTCATGACGTTTCGGCTGGCTCCTCGTCTCTTTAAGCTAGCCTTGAGGTACGAAATACTACAGTGACCCGTGGCTGTATGCACCTGGCGCAAGTTCTGGAAAATGCGCTTGCGCTCATCCGCGGGAATATCCCGAAGGTCATCGGAACTGTGCTCTGGAGTTCTTGACTCTCCCTGGTCCTCATCCGCTGCAAAACACAACCCAGTTCCGAATTGCACCTGCTTCACAACCTCAGGCCAACTGTTTAATCTCTGAAGGAACCGAACCACTCTGACACAAAACTCCTTGGTGTATCCCTGATTCCGAAGACTACTCAACCCTAAGCTCCGTCCTTTCCTATGCTTCCCATCGCAACCCAAACTCAGGTTTTGGACCAGGGCCCCATTGATGCTTGCCAGGCGCCAGCTACTACACACCAAAGCTCCTTGATAATCCCTCAAGTTATACTGACACCCTTGGCAACATCCCTGGTACAACTCCACATCGGTTTGCAATTGTTCACACCACCGCTGGCTCCAGGTCTCACTTGACTCAGCCATCTCCAGGACACACATGTGTCCGGCATGAACAGCTGCCCGGAAGACTTCTACAAGGCCCTCATACTGCTTTTCCACATGTTTCCGTTTGGCCTGGAGTTTGAGCACCTGTTCCGGAGTCCGCTGTGACAACCTTTGAGCTGGGGAATAGGGGGTAGT